CCCCCCATCTTTTTTTTCTGCGAGAGAGCTGCCGAGGAGGGACGGTAGACAACATATATATGCGCACCCCTGATAGTTTATAGTAACCCGCAGTTTGACTGACTGATTGAGTGATTGGTTTTGCTAGCTAGACTGCCGGACCTGTACATATTCTTGATGCCACGCGCGAACGAGAAGATAGGAAGAGCGCTGCAATCCTAGCTACGCGATGAACAAACAAACGATGTGTACGACGAACCGCATAATGAATGTCTCAAACGTCCAACCACGCACACCACCACCAGAGGAGAGGAAGGAGGAGAGGCAGACAGAGAAGGACACTTACCTACACACACAACGCGAACAGCAAGCGCGAGACAGACACGTACACGCACCCCCACAGCATATGCCTGGCACACCACCTCGATCCCCCGGCCCAGGGGAAGTATACAAGCCGGGCGGCCCTCATTAAGACAACGGTCCTCATGTGGGGCCGAGTGAGTCAGCGATTGAGCAGCGAGGCGGACAGATTTAGGTGAAGGGCTCTGAATGGCGTCACGATAGCTGTGACGCAGCCAGAAGGGCGGAGGGAGTGAGATGTCACGTGACCGGCTCTGTGTATGTGGCTGTCTGTCTCGATGAAGAGGTAGAAGAGACGTTGTGGCGGTTGGCTATGCGATGATAGATAAACGGACTACGTGTGTCTCGGTCGGTCATACAACCACGCACTCACTGCCTCCGCAGCGCATACACACACACACGTCGCCCATCGGCCGACCACTCACTCACTCACTCAGTTACTGAGTTACGGGCAAAAAGAAGACACACACACCACTCAAAGAGTCTCTCTCACACACACACGGCGCACCATGCGCCTCCGCCTCCTAGATACTATGATTGATATTTACAGACCACCACCTCAGTACGCCATACATATCACGAGGGTCCATCAATCGCTCAGGCCGCCCCGCCCCGCCCCCGGCCGGCCTCTCGCCGTCAGCTCAATCCCAAGTCCTCCTCCTACACACACCACCAAGCACACACATCGAGCAGATGAATTCATCGGCTGCCGTCCTTGCCCTCCAGATGCTCACGTGCAGTTCATCGGGTATGTGTATGTTGACCTCTCCCACCACATCTCTGTCGCCCTCCGGCTCGTCGACCTGCTCCTCAGGGTGGCTGTGGTGGTTGCTGGGCTGTGGGGGTGGAGGGGGCGCCATGACCTGGCCCTCGGGCAGCACAGTCATGGTGGTGGGCGAGGAGGCGACATTGACGGGCGTGTGTGCGGGGGAGGGCGGCAGGGAGACGCCCATGGGGGTGTTCAATAAAGTGGCTGCAGAAAGGAGGAAGGAGGAAGGAGGGAGGAGGAAGGAGGCGACAGCCGTGGGTGGGTGGGTCCATTGATTGACACTCATCTATCCCCTGTCTGTCACTCACCTTTGAAGGCATGCAGGTAGTCTGACCGCCGGATGACCAGCAGACGGGCGCCATCGTCTGACAAAAGACAGGCAGACAGACAGGCCAGCCAAATGGTGTCTGTCTGTCTGTGTGTCTGTGTGTCTGTGTGTCGGTGCATACCGACGGTAACCGCAGTGAAGTCGGGCACGAAAGTGACCTCCCACCCGCTGAGCTCAACGCTCTTGTCAGCCGACACCTGGATCACCTTATTCGAGGCCTTGAGAGCCGTCACGGCCCGCTGCATCGGCGGACTCGCCGGCACGGTGCCATGCTGCTGCTGCTGCTGGTCCTTCCGGAACCCGCCGAACAGCCGCATCCTCGCCCTGTCCTTGTCGGGCATGGCAGCCGGCATGGGCGGCGACAGGCTGGCGTCGGTGTGTGGGTGTGGCGTGTGTGGCGTGTGTAGGGATATCTGGGGGTCGGAGATGTTGGACCGGTGGCCGGATGGGTCGAATGGGGGGTGGGAGGGCGAGGAGGGGGGCGGCTGAGGCACCACGGAGGAGGAGGAGGCCGCGGTGGTGTCGGTCACCAGCTGGGGGGGCTTCAGGGCCTGAGCAGGCGAGATGGACGACGGTTGTGTGTGTGCGTCGATGTGTTGTGCTTCCTGTCTGTCTGTCTGTCTGTCTGTCTCGGTCACGTACCCTCATGCCGAGTGTGCACCATGGCCCCAAGACACACTCGAAAGCATCGCGGCCAACCTGCACCTTCACCTTGCCCTGACCACAAACACACACACACACACACGCACTGTCTCCGTGCGTTGGCCATCCCTCCCTCCCTCCCTCGCTGCCTCCCCGACTCTCACCGACCTGTAGGATGAGGTAAGCCGTGTCGCTCTTCTCGCCCTTTTGGTAGAGCACCGTCCCCTTGGGGGGCTTGATGACCAGCAGCTTCTTGACCAGCTGGTCCAACACGTGACCATGGATGTACCCGGCGGTCGCAGAGAAGGGCAGCTGGGTCGCCGACAGGAAGGAGGCAACGGCAAGGGCCTCCGGCTCGCTCAGAGGCTGGATGCCCCGCTTCCTGTCGCAAGGGAGCGTGTGTGTATGCCTGTGCCTGTGCCTGTGAGATTGTGTCTATGTGTGGGGGCGGGTGTGTGTGTGTGTGTGTGTGTTGTACCTGTCGAAGAGTTTGAGCCTTCCGACCAGCATCATCGAGTATCTGTCCATCTCGCCGCCACTCACAGGCGCACTGATTGAAGGAGCCACACACACACATGTCAGACACACACACACACATACACATACAAACATTCACTGCCTGTGTCTGTGTCATGTGTGTGTCTGTGTGGGTGTGTACCCTGCCGCGTGCTGCTGGACGAATTTGTAAGCGGCGAGAGAGCTGCTGGAGAGCGACCGCCGCTTGAGGCCCTTGTCGATGGGCAACGCCACATGCTGCCCGCCGCCCTTGTGTGTGGAGTCGAGCGACTCCGTGGACCCCCCCTTGTGAATGCCACCGCCACCCTCGCTTTCTTTGTCGTCTTCCACCTCGGCGTCATGCTCGTCCTTTATCTCGTCCTGGGTGGGCGCACAGCACAAAGGCAGACATACACATGAAGGGAGGGGGACGAGAGAGGGTCCCTCCCTGTCTGTCCGTGTTGAAGAGTGAGGTCGGCAGATAAGGTACCTGTATGATCTCCTCGATGATGTCCTCGAGGGTGATGATGCCGACGTGCACCCAGTAGGGGTCGCCATCGGTCTCGGTCACCACCTCACGCACCACTGCCAAATGAGTCTTGCCTGACACGCGCCCAGCCGCACACACACACACACCGCTCCCTCTGCCCGTGTGTCTGTGTGTGGATCGGTGGGCGGCACACACCTTTTTTGAAGTCTGTGAGGAGGTTGAGCAGGGAAGTGTCGCTGTCGACGGCATAGATCTCCCTCCCGAATAGGTGTATAACGTTGACGATGGGCACCTCGCTGGCAGGGTCGATGATGGCCATGTCCTTGACCAGCAGCAGACCCACGATGCAGCACGGCTTGGTGCGGTCAAACACGGGAATGCGCGAAAAACCTTCCAGCCATTGCATTGCCACACAGAAATGAGGAATGCTCTATATTCGTGTGTCTGTCGACAGTACCTGATTCGAGAATGGCCGATGCCAAGTCGAAGTTGAGTGTGTCGTTGACGTCCACCCCAAAGACGCGGTCGATGGGCGTCATGGCCTCCTTGACACTGCGGCCAGAAAAGTCCAAAGCGCCCTCGAGAATCTGCGCCTCGTTGCTCGTTATCACATGGGCCTGCAACACACACACATCCATCCATCCACGTGCTTCTCATTCCCACCGACACAGGCATGCCCTCACACACAGACACACACCTGTTTCTCATGGTGAGCGAGCAGCGCCTTGAGCTGCTTCCTGTTGAGCACCGAGCCCATCTCCTCTCCCAGGATCCAGTCCAGCAACAAGGCAATGGGCTTGGCTATGGGGTACATCAGAAACACGAAGATCCACACGATCCACACCGTGTAGGCGCCCACGGCCAGCCCGTATCGCGAGCAGGCCGCCTGGGGCGCTATCTCGCCGAACAGCACGATGACCGTGGTCGACAGCACCAGGCCCAGGATGAAGCCCTGCTCCGCCATCAGGATGGACAGACACGAGTTGACGGCCACATTGCCGAGCAGCAGAGTGCAGAGGAGGAGGTTGCCATCCCGGCGGACGGGCAGGATCCGCCGGGCGTACCACGCCTGCCGCTTGGCGTTGAGGTCAGCTTTGTCCTGCTTGCCGACGTCGATGAGTATCTGCAGCTGCACCTTGTCGAGCGACATGAGGCCGAGAGTGAGGCCCGAGAAGAGCGCCGAGAAGCATGACAGGACGCAGATCAGGAAGATGTCCACGCCAGCGTTCAGAATCGCCATGCACCGATGGGATCAGATCGACTGACCAATGATCCTCCGCGCTTCACGACGATAGATCAGATGACCCGCAGCAGACAGCAGGGCAACACGGAAACGCCTGCGACTTCTTCTTTCGCTTTCGCGAGCTCAAGCTCGCCAATCCGCCTCCGATCGGGCGAGAAAACCAAAGGAACTGAGCAATGGAGACCATGGGCAGGTAGCCGACCAACGTCCCTGTCAAGATCTGCTGAAAAGTCGGCTGATTGGGCCTTCGTCATGGCCTCATACCGTCGCTCGTCCAAGGCGTCTGACGGCAGACCAGCAGCAAGTGACAGCGACCCCAAGTCCGTCATGATGGAGGAGAAGACGCCGGCTGCAGCCAGATCACCGCAACACGGCACGAAGGGGCCGTCGTCGGTGTCATCATCGATATCTGCGGTGCTGGGAGGCGATGTGGGCAACATCGCGCTGCTGCTGGTGCTGTACACGCTGCAGGGGATCCCTATGGGACTGTCGGCGAGCATTCCCTTCCTGCTGCAGGACAGGGTCAGCTACAAGCAGCAGGCGCTCTTCTCGTGCGTGTCGCTGCCATTCAGGTACACACACACACACAGGGAGGTAGGGAGGGGCAGATCCATAGGTGCGCGTGTGTTGGTCCTTCCATGTGTCATGTGTCAGCTTGAAGCTTCTGTGGGCGCCTATCGTTGACTCGATGTACTGGAAGCAGATGGGCAGGAGGAAGTCATGGCTCATCCCTGTCCAGGTGGGGTGGGTGGGCGTCAAAGGAAAGAAAGGAATGCGCCACACCACAACCAGCAGACACACACACACACACGCACACACACACACACACGCACAGGCGCCCTCCTCTGTCTGTCTGTCTGTCTGTTTGTCTGTTTGTTCGTTTGTCTGCGGGGTCGGTGCATCCAGTTGGGCTGTGGTCTGCTGATGGTGTGGGGCAGCTATGCGGGCCGCATCGACCACTGGCTGGGGTCGCCCGAGGAAAAGCCCGACGTGCTGACACTCACCGTCTACTTCGTCGCCCTCTACTTCCTCATGTCCACACAGGACATCGCAGTCGACGGCTGGGCCCTGACGATCCTCTCCAAGAGAAATAAGGGGTACCTGATGCCCGCTCGCCATGTTTGTTGTGACTATTGGTGCGTGTCTGTATGTGTGTGTGGTGCCTGGCATCAGATATGCCTCGACGTGCAACACCATCGGCCAGACGGCCGGCTACTTCATCGCACACGTGGCATTTCTCGCACTCAACGACCCAGGTAGGTCCACAGTCAACAGAGCCAGCACAAACAGACAGAAGGGCAACAGCCGCCGTGTTGTAATGTCCAATGCACCGCAGCCACGTGTAATACCTTCTTTCGGTCGACCCCTCTCCCCCACGGCCTGGTCACCCTCGCGAGCTTCCTGCACTTCTGGGGGCTGGTCTTCCTGGCAACCACCACCTTCATATGGGCCTTCAAGCGCGAGAAGCCTCCCGGAGCCACCACCACCAGCCGCAAGGTCGAGCCAACCACGGCGCAGTTCGTCATGTCCGTCGAGGAGACCACCACACGCAGCACCGCCACAGCCATGGGCGCCAGTCCCAGCACCGGCACCAACCGTGGTGCGGGGCCGTCCTCTCAGTTCACTGGGGCGGCAACCACCAGTGCAGCCGACAGGCCGCCCTACCCCCCTCCCAACTTCACGCCTTCCCCTGAGCCATCCCCAGCACCGTCACCCGACCCTTCTCCTGAGTCGAGGCGGGGCTCTCTGGCAGACGATCGGAAACACTCGCTCATGACGCAGACGGACGGAGACGGCGTTGAGTGGGAGGGAGAGGGCGGTGGTGGTGGGGGCGGTGGGGGGAGTGGCGGTGGCGGGGCGGTGGGTGGAGACTGGGATGAGATTGACGGCGAGAACCCTGGGAGTGTGGCTGAGACGTATGGCCACCTGTGGAAGGTCATGTGGCTGGGGCCGGTGCAGACGGTGGTGCTGGTCCTCATGACATGCAGGCTGCCGTTTGCCGTCACAGACAGCTCCACACACCTTAAGGTGCGTGGCGGGGATATGTGGGTGGCGAGACAACAACAGGACACTCGGATTAATGGTGTGTTGTGTTTGGCCAGCTGGTTGAGTACGGCATGTCCAAGGAGGAGCTGGCCTTCCTGGCGCCACTCCTCATTCCATCGGGCATACTCACACCCATGGCCGTCAGGAAACACACACGAAACGCCGCATCCAATCCAATGGTGGCCATGGTGTCTTTGTCTTGTGTTGTCTTGTCTTGTGCTGTGTCGTGGTTCAGCTGGGTCGGTACACCGCCGGCGCCCGACCCATGAACATCTTCCTCCGCGGAATGCCTTTCCGGCTCATCATCGGTGCCCTTTTCGCTGGTACGACACACAGCACACTAAGAGAACGACCACATCAATCCAATGAGTAAGTGTGTGTGTGTATGTGTGTGCTGTCATGTCGTTTCAGTGTTCCTACCGCTGACGCGTGCTGTGTATGCGACTAAGACGGCCGGCAGCCCCCCCTATGTGTTCTACGTCTTCATCCTGCTCGTCGGCGTCCTTTACGACGCCGCTTCTAACTGCATGTTCGTCGCACAGGTACCAAATGACATGGGCATATGGGCACACACAGCACAGCACAGACAAGGCGGCCGGACCAGTGTGTATGCGTCTCTCTGTGTGCCGTGTTCTCTGTGTGTGTGTGTGTGTGTAGATGGCATTCTTCGCCAAGATCAGCGATCCTTCAATCGGCGGGACCTACATGACCTTCCTCAACACCATCGCCAACCTCGGCGGAAAGGTGCACCAACACACACATCCGACATCGGGCCATCGGCAACACTTGGACCTCTCTCTGTGTGTGCGCTGTGTGTATCTCATGACCTTCAGTGGACGACCACGTTGAGTCTGTGGCTGATGGACCCCCTCACCATCCGCCGCTGCCCCGACGACCAGCCCCTACCCATCCCCCTCCCCATCGCAGACGACAGCACGTCACCAGACGCCCAGCAGTGCCCGGTGCTGCTGGACGGCTACACGGTCCAGCTGGCCATCTGCTTTGTCATCGGCGTCTTGTGGATGTGGGCGCTGGGGAGCAAGGTCAAGCGCCTACAGGAGTTGCCCGAAGAGGCGTGGCACATACCCAAGACCACCACCACAACCACCGGCACAGCAGCTCAGGAGAAGGATGGGGTGGTCAGGGAGGGAGATGTTGGGCGTGGTGGGGTCATGAACGGGACGAGTGGGGACACTTACAGGGGAAGATGAGATGAGATGAGATGAGGGGTTGCGGTGGTTGATCGCTGTCTGTCTGTCACACTGCGAATGTGGGTGAGCTGGCAGTCTAATTAATTAAGCTATTGGATGACTGGATGGATGACGGGAGGACAGATCACTGTGATCTGCGCGTGCGCTTGTGCGTGAGAGAGAAAGGGACATACAATGTTTGCCCAATGAAGATCGCTCTGTTGGTTGATGGATCAATCAAGATGCGTGTCTTTCGATCAGTAAGTAGCATGTGTGTATGTCTGCCGGTCACTCTCATCATCGGCACATCTCATTAACAGTCACGTCCCTCAGCCCCTCTCGCCGCGTCTCAGCTGCAGTGACGAGGTGATTCACCAAAATCTGTCAGACAAGGTGCAGCCGTCTGAATGTCTCCCTCCCGTCCCGCCCCTTGTCGACCCACCCCACCGCTCCCCAATCGATCGCCGGCACATCCTTGGTGAAGCCGTTGTCGATCTCCCCCACCAGCCCCCACTTGGCCGCCTCGTCCAGAATGGCCCGCTGCACCACCTCACGCAACTCCATCTTGCGGCCACCCACACCGCCCACCACAAAGCACTGCAGCTGTGGCGTACGCACCACCTGGCCGCCCACATCGGCCATCCCGCCCACCACCTCCCTGTTGCTGCTGGCCTTATACACCGCCAAGTGGACGAAGTGCTCCGCTGCCGCACACACACGCCGGACGAGGACACTGTGCCGCATGCCGATGGCCTCGGTGATGGCCTCCTGGGCGGCAGCCATGTCAAGGAGGTATGACGCAATGCGCCAGCCGAAGACGGGGGCCTCCTGCGGTCCACCGCGCAGCCGGGGGGTCAGGAGGGCTGACAGTGACCGATGGGGGGCGAGGGCGGCGTTGACGGCCGATATGCTGGCCGGGCCCATCTCCTTTAGCACCGTCGAGTACTCGTTCAGGACTGCCGGGAAGGACAACTCCCCCTCAAAGAGCATGTAGCTGGTAATGTCCGCCCCCGCCCGCAGCAGAATACGAATGGTCAGCTCGTAGTCAGGAATCTTCCGGCGACACCACAGTTTTATATCATGGAAATCATCAATACAGTGCAGCTCGAAGTGGCGCTCATCAAGCTCTGAGACAGCCGTCGAAAGAGCTGTGGAATCGCCCCTTATGCGTCTGTTGATGTCGTCAGCAGTGGGCAGCTTGCGGCACAGATATTCGACCACAGGGGCAGAACCATTGTGTGCCGCCCTGTTCAGTGGCGTCCATTCACGGCAGTTCCACCCAGTGGATGTCCCGTGGATGTCGGCCCCGTGCTGTATGACGAGGTCCAGGTAGCTGGCGATGAAGGACCTCGAGTAGTGCTCCCGATACCGGCTGGCTGCCAGATGCACCAAGTTGCTGCCCTGCTCGTCTCATTCGGTGGCGAGGGTGGGGTCGCGCTGGAGGAGGCGCTGGTACATCGACAGCAGCACCGCCTCGTACGTTGCAGGGTGCGGACGACGCAGACGGGGCAGCATCATCACCATGAATCTGCGGAGGTCGATGCCATCTTGCGCCATCAGCAAGTCGAATGCCGTCAGATTGCCCCCTCGGATCGCCACCCAGATGGGCGGGGGGACTTCGTCGTCATGGCCTGTCGCGTTGATGTCGGCACCTCCGTCGATCCGTGCGGTGAGGACAGCCGACTGCAGCTCATCAGAGGGCCACTGCGGCAGGGCGACGGGCCGGGCTTCACAAAAACGTTCTGGCCTGGACAGCGCGGAGGGGATGGTACAGTCTGCATTGTTATCAATTGCGAGGACGACGAGCGGATAGCTGCACCCGGAACGACCAGTGTTGCCCTTCCTACGCAGCCGAGGAATGACGCTCAGGTCAGCGCCCTGCTCGATGAGGCGAGTCACTTGCTGTGGGCTGGTGACGGTGCGGTCGATGATGCCGAGGGTCAGCTCCCCCGTCATATCGTTGGTGCCGCGGGGAAACCGAGCCACGATGTCATCGGCGCTCAAGCGGCCATCCGGCACAGTAGCTAGAGTATCTATCGCTGCATCCAAACATGACGTGGCCAGGCAACCCCACGACACAAGCAGTGAGTGAACCTGTACGCCCATCTATTCTCTCGCGTCTGTCTGTCTGTGTGGCCTACCTTCTTCCTCGTACTCGACCTCCTCATAGCCCGTGAAGTCACCGTCTATGGAGCTACGATTGTCCTCACTGTCATCCTGCGTGCCACCAGAGAGATGCGGGCGTGAATGTGATGCGTTGTCGTAGTGAGTGAGCCTCACCGATTCGCTCTCCTCCTCGTCACTCTCTTCGTCCTCGTCGTCCGCCTGCTCCTCCTCCATCTCGTCCTCCTCCATCTCGTCGGCGATCCCACTGCCCTCCCCCTCGTGCAGCTGCTCACCTGCACCCACACACACACACACACACACACACATCGACACACATCGACACACAGCCTGAATGAGTGTTCCTCTCGTGCTGTTTGCTCGGTGCTGACCGTCGGCCTCGTTGCCGCCCTGGTCTGGTTGCTCCAATCCCTCGCCGTCCTTGAGGGGCCCCGCACCGCCCTCCTGGTGCTCCTCAGGTGCTGCTTCTCGACGCGTGGCCATCCGTGAGGAGCTCCCTGACCAAAGCGAAGTGGCCGACAGAGCACTTCTTGACCACCTGCAGCACTGGACACACACAGAGAGGGAATGAGGGCCCTTCCATCCCCACGACGGCCTTCCTCCTCTCTGGGCCTGCCCACGCACCTTGTTGTCTGTCGCGGAAGACGGCTGGGCTGCTCGCCACACAAAGATCTGCGGCCTGGAGGACAGTGACGAAGGACTGAGGTGCAACGCTACTTGGTTGCTTGCCGGTCTCCTCTCCTCTCCTCTCCCTCAAAACTCCGAAAGCTCTCTGTCTTCTCTCTGCATGCAGAAATAATAGTACACGGCAAACTCCTTCGCCGTTGGTGGTCAGCACTCGAGCGCCGTTAGCTTCCACTTCTATCTCAGGCCTTGCCCTTGACCTCCCACACCTTCTTTCTCCCCTTTTCTCCCTCTCGCTTCCAACCAACACTGCGACGATGAAGGCTGCTCTGTGGCTGACACTTGCCCTGGCCCTGCTGGTGGTCGCCACATCACGCCAGGCAGACACACAGATCGATGACGACCCCAACCGGCCCTGCAACGGCCACACCCAGCCCAACTGCCCAAAGCACGAAGACGAGGCCGAGGGCAACGAGGCCACCGCATCACAAGAACAGCCCAGTGCCGACAAACAGGACACCCAGAAGCCCGTTGAACCCCGTCCCTCTGTCGGCCGCCTCCTCCAGAGGACCCGCAACGTCAGAAAGGACCCCCGGGCTTCGCAAGTCATCGCACGCTCGGGCTTCCTTGCGCGGCTGTGCCCCCCAATTGGCGGTAAGTCAGACAGACGCTGTCCTCCTTGCCGTCGTAGTTCGTTCATCGTCTGTCTGCCTGTCTGTCTGCTGGTGTGTGTGCGTTTGGTCGTGCAGGTCCCGGCTGTCCCAATGCGGCCTTCACTCAGCGTGCCGGCATCCGCCAACAGCCGATCCGTTCGGGCGACAAGAGGCCCCAGAAGATATCGGCTAACAGCTTCTTCATCCCCTACCGGCAGTGGCCCAACAACGGAGGACAGACGCGCACCATCTACCCTGAGTGAGTGGACGGACGGCACCGCCAGCATGAGACAGACAGACAGACAGACACATCCACGGCAGAGCCGTCTGCCCTTCGCATCATGGCTCCTCTCGTCCGTTGTCTCTGTGTGTGTGTGTGTGTGTGTGTGTGTGTTGCAGCCAAGGCAGCAAGAGTCGTGCTCTGAAGCAGACCACCAAGGCCAAGGACAAAGCCAAGGCCGCAAAACACAAAGACGAGCAGCCGCGTGAGCAGCTGATGCTGCAGTGAAAGAGATACGTACGTACGACAGTTGGGCCGGGCCGGGCTGGTGGTGTGGCGTTTTGAGTGAGGCTGGGCTGGGCTGGGCTGTGGTGGGGGGTCGTGTGCATGCTGCTGCCCTGGCTTTTCTCTGCTGCTGTACACACAGACGTGGCTGTGGATAGTTGTGTCAACTCCTTTCTCTGGGTGGGTGTGGGTGGGTGTGGGTGGGTGGGGGTGGAAATTGTTTCTCCTCCGAAGGGAACAATGGCATGAGTGAGTGAGTGAGTGAGTGCGTGAGCGGACGACATGTCTGCTGCTGCTGTTGCTGCTGTTGCTGCTGTTGCTGCTGTTGCTGCTGTTGCTGCTGTTGCTGCTGTGTGTGTGTGTGTGTCTGTGATGGATGGATACGCTGTCTGTCTGCCGCGTGTGCTGTTGTGCTGTATATACGCATTCCATGACAAACAAAGTCTGTGGTTTCATACATACATACGTCCACATGGTACATGTGGATGGACGGCTGGCTGGTTGGCTGCATCGATCTGTGTTGTGTGAGTGTCGGCGGGGCCGGGCTGGGCTGGGCACAGGGCGTGTGTACGTGCCGGGCTGCGGGGGGAGCGGTGACTGATATTCATGTGTTCCACCTCAACGGCATTCGCAAGAATGAATGTGCACAGCTCTCTGCTTCACTGACGAACCCAATCGCATCAGGATGCTCAAACCTTGAGCCTTTCGGCTTGAGGTCGCATCGCGTTTCACGGAATCCACGGAGGGAGAGAAGTTGGAGAGGCAGGCAGAGGTGTCCACCGAGCATCTGTGCTCTCGAGCTCGAGTTCTGCGCACTCTCAGCACATTCCGTCGAGGGAAAGATGAGCAGCAACACGTGTGGCGACATGTATGCTTCTGAGGCTCAGCCTGTTCGCGCTCGGCATTCTTCAGCTGAGCTTCGCGTTGCCTTTGGTGGTGTCTTTCTCGAGCAATGGGCGCAAGCCGAATCGGATCAACATCTTCAGGCTCACTGCATGGGGATATGCTCTTCCTGCTGAGCATCCTCCTGCTGCTCTGGAAGCTCAGAAAGAGCAAGAGCTGCGTCGGTAAGGGAGAATTTCGCTCCTGCCTGATCTGATAGATCTGATCTGGCGCGGTGTTGCAGGCCTATCTTGCCGGATGCAGGAGTGCTACTTGATTGTCTTTTGCCTTCGGTACCTGGACCTTCGTCTACAACACAGGTGGGTGTTCACTCACTCACTCACTCACTCACGGCATCGCATCGGATGCATCGCATCGCTTTGCTTTGCTTCCTGTGCACACGCGCTGCGCATCTCGCCTTGTCGGTATGCCGTCCTGATCAGCCGTGAAGGCGGTGTACATCTCGGGCACTTCCTTGCTGATCTACCTCATGAGATGCCACCCGTCAAGTGAGCTGAGCTGCCTTTGGAGCAGCGCAACACACACACACACGTGCAGCACCATCTGTTGTCCACCCCTCTGTGTGTGTGTGTGTGTTAGTCAGCGAGACGTACGACATGCAGAGGGATAGTTTCCCGCACCTTCGGTGTCTGCTGTTACCGGCACTCCTGCTGGGCTTCATAACGGCAGAGGAGTGGACCATAGTGGAGGTACAGACAGCCAGCCAGCCAGCCAGCCAGATGGCCAGCTGGACGGTCACCGCTTGTTGATGCTTACAGGTCCTTTGGACGGCGTCGATCTGGCTGGAGAGTGTCTCCGTCCTGCCGCAGCTCTTTCTGCTGCAGCAACTAAGAAAAGTGAGTGTGAGTGAGACAGTGTCAGCCGTTCGTTGCCCTCACTCACTCACACGCACCGGATTATAGGACGGACGGCGAGGATGGATAGCCTGCCCCCC